ACTTTTCCGCCCCCTCACCGGCGTCTATGGTGCAGCAGTTAGGCGTTTTGTTTTCGCACGCAGGAAATCAGAGTTACAGTTACATTCCAGAGTCGGGAGATTTTTTTTTTTCGAGTAGGCCTATTATCTCAATCTTTCTGCAGTGATCTTGTATTCCTCTCAGCCCGGGCCGGCCCTGACAGTCAGGGTCGGAGGCCTGCCTCCTAAATTATGAAACATGTATCTAAATTGTGTCGATAGTGGCGTTAAAAAAGTACTCCTCGCCGTTTTTCCTTATCATATGCACAGAAACCAAGAGGTCAACTTCTGGGGATGGAGAGGGGGAGGGGGAGGGATGGAGGGGGGACAGATATTTCAAAATGACCTTTTATTAATTAGTGTTCATGCGTGTGTGCGTAGTTTAAACTGATCTAACTTGAGGACAGGGAACGGGATGTCTTTCATGTTTTTGTTTGTGGGGGGGGTTTTTTGTGTGTGTGTCTGTTCGTAGTGTAGTTTTTTTTAAGGCGGGAATGTAGGGGTTTTTTTTCTTTGAGTGGATGAGCAGGGGGTTAAATATTTACTTTTTGTGTTCTTGCTAGAAAAAAACCCCAAAAAATCCAATGGAGTGGGAAGTGTTTTCGAAAGCAATCAAACAGCAGTGCAGAGACAAGTGGACACGGAAGCCACAAAAATGACAAAAAGAATAAGTGCACGAAGGTAGCGTGACAAAGCTCATAAGCTTGTTGGAACAGCCTGATGTACCAATTATTAAAACTTCAAAGTGTGGGAACTGTTGAGTACTTTTTTAAAATTTTAGTAAGAGTTTTACGGTACTTGCAACACGAACTGGTCATAAAAGTACAGAAGATTTTATACTAGAAAGTAATATGTGTTTGTCAGAGAGGACAGAGCAAATCCCACCAGAGCATCCACTTACCACCCACAACAACAGTTCAAAACGCTGACTGTTATAATGCAAATGCACGAATGAGCACCATGCTAACAGTTTACAGCCCGGGCTGTTTATGCAAATAAATGAACGAGTGGACACCATACCAACAAACATCTGATCCCGCTAACAGTAAGGTACCAACAGTTCAAACAAAAGCTCAAGACTATTGATAGGATTTTTTTTTTGGCGTTTGCTACTGCATAAGGTCACATGAGCGCGGGGGATACAAGTTGGTTGTTTGTATTCACAAGCAAAGCTCTGACTGATAGACATGCAGATTTCAGTAGACCCCGTGCACTCGAGTTCCACAGCTACAGTCTCGTGTGAGTTGTGCGCGTGCTTTTTGAGGGAACAGCCGAGTACCTGCGTTAATAGTAATAGTCGCGTGACCCTAGCGACGGTTTGTTTATTGTAATATTGGATATTTATCAGTGTACCAGGATGTTGAACTGGTGGTCGTTATCTCTTTTTTTGTAGAGTTTCTAGTTGTTTTGTCATGTTTTGATTTTTGTTTTTGTTTTGGAGGGGTGGAGTGTGGTGGTGGTGCTCTTTCGCTTTGTTGCTGTTGTTTTTGTTGTTGTTGTTGGTGATGGTGTTTTTCTTGTTGTTGTTGTTGTTTTTGTTGTTGATATTGTTGTTGCTCGGTTTTTGGGCGTCCTTTTGTTTTGGAAAGGGAGGAGGGGGGGGGGGTTGATTCAGCAAGTGTCTGCTTTGCCTGTTTTATTGCAATGCACAATGAGCACCTTGCCTGGATGAATATTGACAACATATATAATTTTAAAGCAGTTTGTTATTTAACATTTGTCATGCGGGAGACTTGGGATCAGCATCTGTGCTAAGCGAATACATGTACTTTGTCTTGGGGGTATAGATCATGGTATCGATACTCAGTGCTTTACTGGGTTTTGGGATTGTTTCTAGAGGCGTTTTTTGTGGGGGGGGGGGGGTATTTTCTCCTTTGGTTTTGTTTTGTACATCGTTGTTGTTTGTGGTGGTGATTTGGTGTTTCTTTCTTTTTTAAAAATATGTGGGTCAAGTAAAAAAGATGAATGAAAGTAGACTCTCAATTAGGTGTGGGACTGCCCTGGTAGCGTTTTTGAACAAAATATCCCCAAATTATTATCACTAATATCACTGTAGGCAGTGTACAGGTTCTGTATTTCTTACTTACTCCTTTGCCTTGATACATTGACGTCCGCCTGTCCGTCCATTTTGTTGTTGTTGTTGCTGTTGTTGTTGCTGTTGTTGTTGCTGTCCTATCTAAAACTGTGTCTATTTCTGCTAGAGGTGCTCCAGCGCGTGGGCAAAGAAAATGCTCTTAGTGTGTACAAACTGTGTGCTTGACATTAGCCGCAAA